AATTTTGCATTTTCCTTTCAAAAGCTCTACTTTTTAGGTTAAAGCTTAATATGATTGGTACTTCAATCAATATCTCTCTGCAGTTATTACCGGTGGCTTTTACTATAGTAAAAGATGAAATTCTTGGACAAAAATCATCATGATTTGATAATGATCACTTGTTGGTCTCTATTCCGAGTTATATGTTGGTACTTTATAGTTCTCACGTTTTTGTCGGAAAATTTATTATTGGCTAGAGATAACCGATTTACGTGTCGATTAGAAAATGATTACTTTTGTCACAGAACATTTTCATTGTAGTTTACACGGTTAGATGTTTAGATGGTTAGTCCAATTCTTTTATTCGTTTAGAATTTTTTTAAAAAGATGAGATTTGTGGTTAGCCTACTACTGATTGGTGGGAAGATCTGCGAAAATTTTGCCCTTTGGTGCTTTTGCTCCTTCACTTTTGATCATTGAAAGTTTTTTTTTTTTGTTTTTTTGACTCATGACATGACATAACATACATACATACATATGGCGTTTGTAAATCAAAGTAAAGTACAATAACAAATATTTATTAGTTTAAATAATTATTTGTTTTCGAATAAACTTTTATATATTCCATTAAATTCATAAAGATTATCTTACCTTTAAGGTTAGATGGAAGTCTAGATTCCTCCTTTTCTATTGACAAACGCCCAATGTACACATTTTATAACAATTAGGGACGCTAATGTTTGGTCTGGTGGATCCCCTAACAAATAAATCCCGTTTATGAACAATCAAACATATTGATCTTATAATTTAAAATATTATTCTAAAATTTAAGTTAATTGAAATTTTTACAATTGGATGTATTTAAACAAAGGTTAAAGTTATGTAGACATTCTATTGCAAGCCACTACAGATAATTTTGTTTCGCAAGTATCAGGGTGAGTTTTTTTTTTGGTTTCATTTCAGGAGTAGGGATTAAACGATTCGATTTGATATTCTCTAAAACGTTTTTTTTTTATTTGATTATTTAATTTAATTTTTTTTTTTATTTCTCTTTTTTTAGGCTTTTTTTTTTTTTAATTTATTTTTTATTAAATTATAGATATACAACTTATTTTATTTTATTTAGGTAGGTTGGATGCTACAGGCCATAAAGCAAAGCTCTAGTTTAAAAATTTTTTTTTAATAACCTTTTTGCAGAAAAAAATTTTCACGTTCACAGGCTTCAAACTAGTACATTTCCAAAAATCATGAGGAAAAAAAGCGGTCTATTATCTTCTAAGCTATCAATTCTAAAAACAGTGACAAAAGCTGTAAAAAAATTTTCAACGGCATATGTAATCTCAAATGAGAACGGCAATAGGTTCATGTAAAGAATGTTATTGTTTTTCTTTTTAGAAGTACCATTTAAACAATCAATCTTCTAATATATTGTTATCATCGAAAGTTCTATTAAATCAATGAAATTTCAAAGAAAAAAAAAATGATGTTTCATAAAATTTTGAAAATCGGAAAATTTATTCAGTATTTTACGAGTCGAAATGAGCGTTCTTTGAATTTTAACTTCCACCTTTCATTTAAATAATTATCAATCATAATAATGGTTCGCGTTATCCATTATCGAATGTAAAAGAAAGTAAGAATACTGTGTTTCAAATATGTTGTTGTTTCAAATGAATTAACGTTAAGGTCATTTTTATTAGTAAATTGAAATCACTCGATACTCATGGAAAAGTAATTTTTCAGCGTCTGTGCATAAAAATATTGATTTCTGATGCTAAAATACTTGGTATAAGTATATGGCTTTTATTTTTAGCCTGTTTTTTTTTTAAGAAATAATTTTGATCATAAAGATCTGCTTCATTTTTTCATTTTTAATAAAAAAAATATAGCGATAGTTAATCGATCTCTCGGAAAAAGGATTATAGACGTATTGATAGGTCCGCACATGGAAGGACTTCTAAAAGTGACCAACTTTATAGGATCAAACTTATTTACGTTTAATGCAGAATATGAGATGGTACATACGGCAAATTAATGAAGTTATATCTTTACTCCCCATCGATGGTAATAACAGTACAATGATAAGAAATCATCGTATAATTACGATAATCTCTCTTCTTTGTCCTGTCATTGATATCGATGAGGAGCAAATATGTAAATTTATTAATTTTCCGTAAGTACCGTCCCATATGCTGCATTCGACTTCGATAGGAATGGTCTCTACAAAATTGGTCTCTTTTAGGTTTTTTTTTTTTTTTTTTTCATATGCGGACGTATCAAGACATCTATATTTCTTTTTCCGAGATATTGAATGACTTATATTAAAAATAAAGGGGATCTTTATGCTTATTAAAATTATCTCTTAAAAAAAAAAAATAAAAATAAAGGCCATATATTTACACCCACCCAACGTCAAGTATTTAGCATCAGATATCAGTTTTTATGCATGGGCGATGAAAAATTACTTTGCCATGAGTATGATGAATTCCACTGGGAAACACACTCTCTCACCTGGTAAAGTATTTGTTGATTTAAAAATTTTTGCAAAATAATTAACGATCGTTGTTACTAAAACATTTTATTTTATTAAAGACCCTCCCGATCGTTTTGATTTATCTTTTAAGCATCATAATTAGTTCAAAGTAATCTTGTTTCGCTGGTCTTGAAATATTTTGTTGTAAAATTTTATGTAATTTATTTAATTTGATATCAATTATAATATAAACTTCAATAAAAAAAAAAAAAAAAATGCGAATTAAAAGTAAAATACTCGTTTGACGTATAACTTATAGCGTCTATCTCTGTCAAATTGTTGCACTTCAATTGACTCACGTCAGTTGCTGACTATAGTTTCGACTTTGATCGCCCTTGCTCATTTCCTAAAAAAATAATAATAATAATTACACAACCTGAAATGGAAACTAAAAGAAAAAATCTCTATATAATTGCTTCGGTCCGCAGTGACCCGACTAGAAAAGAATAAAATAAAAAATCATTTAATGAAAAAATGAAATCAAAAGGAATCGAAACCTCTCGATTGGTGCGCCCCGACCCGTAACTAAAAAAAAATAAAACTGACTCGCCTGATACTGCGTAAGTTTTCCGATCTAAAGAAAAGAAAAGGCGTGCAAGATTTTTTTTTTTTGGAAATATCGTTTAATCGCTGTAGCCTGAAGCGATCGAATCCGGAAATTAAAAAAAAATTCGAATGATTGATGAAAATAATTTAATGCTCGCCGCCACGATCACAGGAATTGTTAGCTTATCTCAAACGAAAAAAAAATTCACATCTTCAATTTAAAATTTTTTAGTTATTTTAGACAAATAAGAAATTTTTTAATTTTTATATGATTTTTCTTTCTTAATGTACCTTTTAATAGATTTTCTTAATCATTCCAATTTAATTATAAAGGGAAAATTTAGTTAAAATAAAAGAGTATTAAAGATAGATATATATATATATTTTTTAAAAATTGCTTTATACGAATGAATAATTATTCTCCTAACCAAACTCTGGTTAGATCAATAATAAGCAAGCTTATCTAGAGAAACAGGGTCAATTCTTTTTTAAGTATATTCAGAAAGCCACCTACAACTCAAACTGTAGAATGTAGAAATCTGCAAACTTGATTGATATGCTAAATAAATCGGAAAGAGTTTCTCAGAAGTAGAGCTTTTGAAGGAAAATGCAAAATTTTATTTATGCATGCAGGACTCTTTATCAAAGAATTAAGGTAAGACAATATGACCGTTTGATATATATAAATGATCGAAATTCGAATCACTTTTCTTTTTGATAACCATAAAACAAAATAACATAATTATGTAATCCTATGATTCTATAACATTTAATATACAAGAATATCCATTTTCCACCAACCAAGCAAACTTAAATTATGTTACCATCACAAAATCTCATGGTTCCGGTAGAATATCAACCAAAGGATGACTTTGAAAACAATAGACAGTTAAATGTAATTGCGAGTGCCATATTGCTTGACGAAAGTCTTGTTAAAAGATGGAAAGAGAATGAATACACTGAGATATGTAGTGATACCAATAATCTTGTCATATCGGGAGCATTACTAATCCTATTTCCTCCATCCCCACCATCTGGATGGCTTTACCCTACTGCTGACGATGTAAAATTCTGTCTTACCAAGCTTATCGAACTAGGGTTTAAGCTCGACGATAAATCCTTAGTAGACGCCTTACAGATGTTCGAAAATAAGTTGGATATTTACGGCGATATCTTTTGGAATGTTTTCACCGCAATTAGAAGCGGTAAATCTAATTTTTCATTTCTTTTCGGTCTTTTTAAAGAGCCATCAAGGGGTCTCAAAAAATCATTATTTTTAAATTTCCTAAAATCAAGGCGTGTGAGCATCAAAGGATAAACTTACCTTAAAAATTTAATTTGATGACTACACTTCCCCTTATATCGAAATTATTAAATTCAATTAAGACAACCTTTGATTAACATTTAAGGGCGTTCTCAACTGACTAATAAGTTCTGATTGGTTAAAAAAAAAAAAAAAAAAAAAATATTGGAGCAAATCTACTCAATCACATTGTATCAATAAGATCGGACTGAAAATCTTTGTTATATTTTGACATTTTAGAAATAAATTTATTGTTAATATGGAAAAAAAAAATAATATTCAAGTGTCGCATCAATGTCTAGTAAAAATAATTTATATAAGCATAAATATTTATGTAAGAAAATTCATAGTTGATTAATAAAAAATAAAGAAAAATCGTTTAGGTGTTTTCTATATATGATTACATTGCTTATTAAATTAATGCAAAAATAAATATGTAAAAAAATCCAATTACCAAATAAGTATTCCCACTTGATCGTAAGCCAACAAAAGTTTCAAGATTAAGAAAATAAAGCAGCTACATCAACCTAAGAAAATCTCTAGCTTTTTTTCGGAGATACAGTGTTATTAAATAATAGTAACTTTTAAAGATAGTAGTCATAGGCCATAACTTCAAACTTTTACCATCGAAGAATTCAGATATTATCTTTTGAATCTTGGAATGCGAGATTTTATGTATTTAAATTTTGTCGTTTTAAAATCTCAGAGTACTTTCTCAACTGGATCGGAACAAGTCTAACATAACCATTAAATTAGAAGTTTGTAGTGATGCTGAAAAATCACGTTTTATTACGCAGGTGATTTCTTGTTGTTCGAGTCCTTGTACATCTTTTTATTACAAATTATAATAAATTAAATATTAAAAATTACCCACCATCATTTGTTTGGTAGTAAATCCTGTCGTATCATTTTTTTTCATATTTAATCTCATTCTTTGAACTTTATATCGTGTATGTCCAAAGTAGATGCCTGCTTAAGTCCAAATGTTGAAGCACGACTTAATAATATGACAACTCGAACCCGTCCAAGTATAAATTAATTTATGTTATGCTATTTTGGCGATGAGAAATTTAAAAAATTCAAAATACCAAAAATAGTAATATATATTTTTTTTACAAATTTTTATTTTTATTGCAATAAAATAAAAACTAAAAAAATTATTGAACTGCACTATGTTACTATTTATCGTTGTTTTCTCTTGTGTGACAATAATTTCAAAATACAGCCAAATTTCATCTTTTCTGCTTTTTTTTTTCTTGACATTTAATTCTCAGATTAAACTTGACCTTTTTGTTTAATAATAATAATAAAATATTTCAATAACGACAAATTTAAAACGATCGGCAACAATTGTTTGCATATGGCAATAGAAAGAGGTCTCTAATCCAAAGTTTCTCTGAAAAAATTATTAATTACAACTAAATCAATTAGAGATTCTAGGTAGAGGTATATATGGTAGCTATCACCTATAAACCACAAAAAAGTCATACGACTTTAAAATTATAATTTGAAAATAAAGAATTTAACCGATAAAATGTTAGAACAACATGAGAAGATTATTTTTAACGGTACTTTTACAAAATACGATAAAAATTTTGAAGCTATTTTCCGTTAAAATTTTCATATAGTGAAGATGACTAAGGATCGGCACGAAATTTATTTTCAAATTTTAAATCATCGCGCTACTTTATTTTAGATTTGTAACAAATTATTAAATTATCCTTTGCCCAACATGAATTACAATAGCTATGTTTCTTTGTCTTTGAATTTTGTAGAATTACAAAATTCCTTGAAAAACGAATAAACTAAATTTTTTTTTTTTTTAAAAAAAAAATAAGGGGTATGAACTGAAGTATTAAATAGCAAGCAAGTTACAGCCGAATCATTAATTCAGCAAGTTTATTATTTTTGACATTACTAATCATAATACACGATAAATCTAACCGAACATCACTCACTTATAACTTTAATGACCTGAAAAACTTCATAATCATCAATATCAAATTCTGTTGGGATATCAATGATACTGTATGAATTCCTACAGGAAGTCCATAATTCATCATCACAA